GTTGGAAAAAACTCAATTGGGTTAGGTAGTACAACTGATGCAAGAACATTGAGCGCAGGAGAAGAGAGAGATGTGCATATAGATGACCTTGATTATGACTTGGAAAATGATGCATTCATAAGTCAATCTCAAAGTGACCCACCTTTTCCCTCCACATCACCGCTCTTATCTCCTAAAAGTCACGAGGTTCCCATGAAAAAAATAACACAAACCAAAAGAAACAGGAGTACATATGAAGGAAGTGGCGTCATGGAAAGGCTAAACGAAATATCTACAAGTTTCAAAGGAATTTATAGCCTGCTAGAGAAAAGAGAAAGAGAATATACAATTTGGGATGCCATCAAGGATATCCCGGGCTTAGATGAGGAAACCCAGTTTAAGGCGGTTGAGTTGCTTGATGACAAAGGAAAAAAAGATGTCTTCTTGAAGATGTCACCTGAAGAACGGTTAAGTTGGATACACCACAAGATGAGAGGGTAAAATGAGAAGATATATATTAGGATGAATGAAATGATTATGTGATTTTATTTTAAATGTTTTATTTGACTTTGTTTTTGCTGAGAGTTAAGAGTACTCTAGTTTATTAAATTGTTTTTGGGTACTTGCGTATTATTATTAAGTTGTTCCTAAAATATGTTTGGTTTAATATCTTCTTATGGTTCATATACTTTAGAATTGTAGTATTGTATTATATTTTTATGGTACATACTCATATACTCCCTCCGTCCTAATTCTTTCTTCCCAGTTTGACTTTTTCCCATTTTTAATTTTTGGTTTTGACTTCAAATTTTGCCCTCCTTAAAAAAGATTTTTTTGAAAATTTTTTGTTATAATCATTCAAAATATAGAGTTAGAAGATAATTGGTGTAAATACATGAGGGTATTAATGTCATTTGTCATCTTTTTTTTCTAATGGGAAGGTAGTTTTAGGACGGAGAAAAAGGGGTAGTGGGAAGAAAGTTTTAGGACAAAGAGAGTATTATTTTGTGCTAATAAATTTATAATAATGATAATAATATTTAAAAAATAATTTATTTTTATTTTAATATATTATTTTTAGTTTAAGTTTTTGTTCAATTTCATAAATATAATTAATGTTAGCATAATGTATGAATTTTTAAAAGAATAAATAATCCATTGATTATAAACAATCTACTAGATCCGTTGATAAAATACAGTAAAATCTAGCTAACTCTGCGTAAACTTTTATTAATTCATTGATTTTACAGAATCAACAGACTCTAAACAATCTATCAGAATCTTATAAAATCTAGATTGAATACACCTCCCTAAGATTCACATTTTTAGTTATAAAGGCTAGTTTATCTCAATACAACATAACGAGTATTTTCTCCAAAGAGAATAAATGAAATAATATTTAATATGTTGTATAATAGCTGCTTTTGTCCATAATTTGATTAACTACACATAAATAAACTCCATTAGTCTTAAAACGAACATTCTTTTTTCCTTCATTCCAAAATAAACCTTTCACCTCTTGCATTTTTATAAAAGAAATAGACAAGTACTCGTAGCCTACAATGTTTCTCTCATTTAAACAACTTGTATCTACAATTTTACTTTTAAATACTACAAGTTCTGTCCCAATTTAAATCAGTTACTTCAGTTTATGATATTTGACTTAAGTTATTTTTCAATATAATTTATTAGAGAATTCAGAGGGAGTTAAAGAATTAAATTTACATAATAAAAAATAACAACAAATGTTGTACGAAACAAGATTTGACATTGTTATATTATTTTATCAAATAATTAATAAAAATAAAAAAAAAGACAAATAAAATTTGACCATTTGAATAGTAAACAAACAACTTAAATATACAGAATAAAAATAATATCATAATATTTGTATCAAATAATACTTTCAATAATATAATATCTTATTACAGAGGAATATTTTTGTACTCCGTTTTTAAAGCTATACAGATCGAATATTATACTTTGTCTTAATTTATTTATCTAGTTTGAATTTTTGTGTTAAATTGAATAAATTTATATTGCATATTATTATGATTAAATAGAATTTTGGAAAGTTCTCACAATATAAGTTAAACAAAATTATTTTTGTTTTAACATTCGGAGTACATTACAGTTTTGTTTAATTGAGGTTCAAAATTCGTTAATTTGATTTTTTTTAAAAAGTCAAATTAAATGAATACACAAAGACTAATATAATACAGAGTTTTTCCTTTAAAATTTTACTCGCTCCGTTAATCAAAGCTCTTCATATTTTGTGTTTGAATTGTGCTATTGTGATCATAAAGTCCAAATGTGAAATGACCACAGTTTATCATTTTTTATTGATCTCTTTCATTTTATAAAGTTCAATACATTTAGTCATTCCATTTCTCAAGATCCATATAATAAATATGGATCTTAGAACCATGAAAGAATTTTTCTCGTTTTACCTGTAAAACTCCATCTTTTTTAAAATGATTTTATTTTTAAATTAGTATACAAATAAAAAGTAAAACCTACATATTTAAAAATAACATCAAAAATTGTACTACCTTCGTCCCAGAGTATTTGTCTACGTTCATTTTTACACATCATCCAATACACTTCTTTAATCCATTTTATCTTGTAATTTGTATATTAAAAATTATAGAAATTATATATTAATATCTATATGTTAAGACAAATCAAACAAGATCACACATGACTATATTTAGACTTACACATTGAGAAGATTTGATGAGTCAAAGTACTTAGATGAACAATTCCAAAAGTCAATAGTGAACGAATATAGCGGGACGGAGAGAGTATTCCGTATAAAATAAGCAGTGACAAAAAATATTGTATTTTATTAAATAATTAATATAAAAGATATACAAACAAAAATTATCAAACACCTTTTATAATAAACTCAAAAGATTTTGGTGAACAAGTACTCCAGATATAATATACTCCGTATTCGGTATTACTCCGCCTAGTCAATCAAATGTTCCATACGAAAAACAAAATGGTTCTTTTTACCATAGAACCTTGGGTCATATTATGACTCGGCTTCCTACAGTGCTTCATTCATAAATTTGATCAATCCTATCCCCTTAACTTCTCCTCAAACTCTAACCCTTTGCTCCCTACCTGCCACCTCACCTCATCACTCTTTGCTCCCTACCTGCCACCTCACCTCATCACTCTTTGCCCTTTCCCCATTTTGCCGATTGGCTATAGTGTTGGGGAGGGAGGCACATGAATGTTGTAGTGGGGTGGACAAGTAGGGGCAGTAGAATATAGTTTAGTAGGATTATGAGATAAAATCATTAATTTTATGAACGAAGTATCGTAAAGCTCCCTGGTTATAATATGTCTCAAAGTTTTAAGGTAAAAAATTATTGTCATCCTAAAAATAACCGAACAATTAAAATTTACTAAAAGTTAAAAAGGGACAAAAAAAATGTCAAAAAAATTTACTCCTACTCCTTGTTCCTACATTGTTTCAGGACGGAGGAATAGTTATAGACTCCAACTTCTATTCCAATCTCCCTCCCCATCTGATCTATACTCCATATCTGATTCGCAGGCAGAAGCTCAGGGCTTTCTTCTCCGTTCGGTTCTCTCCGACCTCACCTTTTCTCTCATCGGCTCAATTTTGAGGTATATAACCTACTCTCAGTTTGGCTCGATTTCTCTTCGAATTTTGTGTGAAATGCGGATTTCATGCCCAATTTTAGCTGAGTGTTTCGTAGCATGATTCTGGCTATTTGTTATCTGTTTTTGTGGATTCTCTGTGGATACCGTGGTTGGGTTTTCAAATTTTATGATTCCACATTCGTGTATACACTAGGTCATGAATGTGTTAGGTTCTTGAGAATTTTCCTCTTGAAAATCTGCTCTAGCAGGGTTAGTTTTTCAATGTAGCATTGAAACCAAGTCTTTATATGGAATCATAGCGGATAAACTGTACCACCCGGATGATGCCTTTCTTATGAAAAAGGCCAGATTTTGTGTTTTTGTTAGGAGTAAGAAATTATGATACTTTGTATAAGACATTAATATATTCCTTTAGTGGTTTCACTTGTAGGATCAAGCACAATGCGTTTCATCTATCCCAAAAAGGCTCGCATGTTTTCTTTATAGGGTGTGTCCCACAAAGATGTGTGTGTACGCAGGCAGGCCTTACCACTATTCGAAAGTAGAAATACTGTTTTCAAAGACCCCTGGCTCAAATATAGAAGCACAAAGTATCATCCCATGGCATTCTGAAATCTGAATGGCTATGTTTGGCAAATGGCTTATAGGCCATTTTTTCTTGTTTAAGACTCTTTCATACTCCCTTGTCCCAAAAAACATCCCGTAAATCCCATTATGGCTTATGGTGTTTGACCAATTTTTTCCCATTCAATTTGTTAATTAATTGGTGAAAAATTTAAAAGTAAAATTTATGTACTCCCTTTGTCACTAAATAAACTTTAGTTTATGGTTGACCGTGTAAATAGTGAATTTGATGTTTGTTTAGGAACGAAGGGAGATTTTAAAAACTACATGAGTATTTTGTTTTATTCAATGAGCAATGAAGATAGACAAAGAAAGAAGACTAATGAAGATAGACAAAGAAAAGATAAAGCTTGACAACATGCATAGTTGTTAGAAAGTATTTTAGTTTTTTTTTTGTGTGTGTGAATGGAGGTAGTAATTATTAAAGATCCAGTAGTTTCTACTTTCTAACGTCACAAACACAAAGTACTTTCTATTTTCTAATTATTTTTTCTTTTTTTTGTTTCCATTTTTCTTTTGTTTCTTATTGGATAATTAAATACACAAATATGAATAAATAATTCATTTTAAAACTTATTCTAATCGGTAATTGTTGTAGTTGCCAAGGAAGCTAAAAGAGTCATTTTGACAAGTTTTTAGCTTTAGGTAACTAATGGACTGAATCAAAATGACTCATTAAACTTCCCTAGCTTCTTGTTGCCAATGAAGTTTTGGTGAATAAATGCAACAATGCATCAAAAGTCTAGTGTTAAGTGGTAACCACCTCTAAATGTGTTTACATGGTAAGACTGCCTACATCTTGACCCACTACACTCCAACAGAGTTGGGATTATACTAGGGTTGTTGCATTCTAATAAGCATTAGTCAATAATTAATAATATTGAATAGAATAATAACCAATTGGTTATTGAATACTCCCTGCGGTCCTAAAAACTCTTCTTGTTTTGACTTTTTTTGTCAAATTGTGGCACTCTTTGACCACAAATTAAACATAATCTAAATAATTAAATATTTTATAAAAATTATATCCTAAGATGAATCCAACTATATTAAATTTATATTATATTATAATTAAATATACTTTTCTCACAATTAGTGGTCAAAGTGTTTCACTTTTTCAAAAATAGTCAAAACAAAAAGAGTTTTTAGGACCGGAGGGAGTATAAAACATTACAAATGGTTATTTTGACCTTAGAAGAAAATGACATGAGAATGACTCGGGCACCTACGGTGCTCCATTGGTAAAATTGATTGTTCTTACCCCCTAACCCCCTCCTAAACCCCCCACCGTTGCTCTCCTCCTCTGGCGGTATTCTGCCAGGGGAGAAGAGCTAGGGTGTGGGGTTTAAGGGGGTAAGAACCATCAATTTGACCAACAGAGCACTGTAGGTGCCCCAGAATTCTTGGGTCATTCTCGGGACATTCTTTTCTATGGTCAAGAGAACCTTGCCGAAAACATTATATTGTCTTTATATCCTACTTAATGCTTTTTCAATATAAAGCATACTCATGTCCTTACAAGCTACTTTACGTGTTAATTGTTATTAGCTAATAGTGAAAAACTAATTTTGTCAAGCATCTCTTTATAAACAGCTGATACTATCATGTTCATTCAATACAACTAAAACAACCCGCTGTCAACTGTCAACCAAAAGCCAATCTTCAAAGAAGGTGAATGTCTACCCTCTCTTCTTCAATGGGTTCAACTCTGTCAACATCTCAAGGGATATTTCCTTCCTCTTCCTTTGGTGCATATGAATCAGAGTCCAACGACCCTGATGAAACTAAGTTATATTCAGTATCATGGAACCAGGACTACAGTTGCTTTGCGGCTGGCACAACTTTTGGTTTCCGTATTTATAATTGTGAACCTTTTAAGGAGACATTTAGGCGTGATCTCAAAAGCGGGGGCTTTGGGATTGTTGAAATGCTATTTCGGTGCAATATTTTAGCCCTTGTTGGTGCACGTGACAACACTCAATACCCACCAAACAAAGTTATTATTTGGGATGATCATCAAAGCAGGTTTGCTTTACATAATGGTTTTACCACTGTCTGTAATGGGCATGGTATTTATTAAACAAGTATTTCAACCTGTCATTTTCTCGTGATATGTTCCATGCATGCGGAAAAAACTTATTATGATAATATTAGATTTTTCATCTTGCTGTTCTTTCTGTAGAGAGTCGCAAGTCTTGTGACAGGAAGGGCATCTGGCATACAACATTGCCACTAACAATTTTTTTAAATATGTTTTTTATCCCAAGAATATAGAACTTTGTTTTAGGTTTGGAAAGAAGAGATTTTTTTTACTATTCATCCGTGTAATTTATGTTTTTTTTCTTTTTGATCCCTTTCCGTCAATCTCCTAAAAACTGATGTCGATCCAGGAGTTCTGGCATTTCCAATGTCTTTTTAAATACATAATATATTTTCCCCCAAAAACCAGCATAGCATAAATTAAAAGTGGGATGATGGGGTTTTAATCAGCCATAACACCCCTAAAATTCTCCAGTAAATTGCTAAAAGATACTCCGTAACACATATTGATATAATTGTGTCATACGACTCATGCCAATTTTTCAAGTGGAGGTTGACAGAGTGGGAAAAAAAGAGAAAGATGTTAATTACAGGGATGAATAACAACAAAATGTACATGAAAGGGCAAAAATCATATGCGTTACTCCCTTTACCCCATAATTATTACCCACTTTGACCAAGAACAATGTTTAGGAAAATAAAAAATGTGTGGCTGGAAATTTTTAGAAGAAAGAGATATACCGTGAACGGCGTGAAGTGTGAACTACATATTTCTAGGCTTAAAAAGAAATTAGTGATGATTTTGGGACAGACATTGAAAGAAAGTGGTAAAATAACTTAGAGACATGGGTACCTTTTGGCATGAATTTATAGTGCAATTAGTGTTAATTGAATTTTTTACAATTAATTAACACTAAATTTAAAGTTGCCAATCTCAACTGGTTGGGATTAAGGTTCTGATAATGCCATGGCGATCAAAACAGGTGCATTGGGGAGTTTTCTTTTAGATCCGAGGTTCGTGCCGTGAAACTAAGGCGAGACCATGTTGTGGTCGTGCTTGAGTACAAGATATATGTACACAACTTTATGGATCTAAAGCTTCTTCACCAGATAGAGACTTGGGCTAACCCTAGGGGGCTTTGCTGCTTGTCACACTACTCAAACACATTTGTATTGGCTTGTCCCGGTCTTAGAAGTGGACATGTTCGGGTTGAGCATTTTGGACTGAACATGACAAAATTCATCAAGGCTCACGATTCGCAAATTTCATGCATGACTTTGACAATGGATGGGCTTCTTCTTGCCACAGCTAGTACTAAGGGCACTTTGGTTAGAATTTTCAATACTATGGATGGGACTCTATTGCAAGAGGTATACTTTCTTTCACCAGGCTTATTAAACACTTTAGAAGTATGTTTATGCAAAAAGCAGTATCTTCTTTTTCAGATCTAAGCTATACTCTTCTTTGGTTTTGTCTATATTACGGAGCATAATTTTTCACTAGTTATGTTAAACTCCCTCTGCCCCCCCCCCCCCCCCCC